AAAAACTTATGGTTTTAATTAAATGTGCATAAAGTATCTCTGACGTCTTTTTACACGCTTGGTATGTTTGACAAGTAAAAATTAATCCACTGCACGCTGGTGAGAGCTTGTTTTGAGTGTAAAAACGTAAAATGGTCCTTAAAGGTCAAATGCAACGGAAAATTCGATGATTTTTTAACACTTGGAAAAAGAAGTTCTTGTTATGTGCAATACATACGCGAAGCGAGAAAACTGGAAGATTTTTATTTCTCGAGATATCAAGGATTGAAAAGTGTTGTATTTCCGTTGACCGGTCGTTCATTTTCGGTAATGAATCGGAAGTTAATCGGAGACGCCTCCAATGACGTCACAGATGGTGCCGGTGTTTCGACGATACACTTGTTGTTCAGACATACTATGTAGTCTTGGTATTGATAAAATGGTATTTTGCTCCGCATTCAATTGTACAAACAATTCCTCGTCCAAAGTTAGCTTTTTTAAGTTTCCAAAAGAGGCTTTTTATCGGAAAGCATGGGTTCAAGCTATGAAAAGGAAAAACTTCGTGCCAACAATACATTCCCAACTTTGCTCGATCCATTTTTCGAAAGAATGTTTTCAGCAAAATCTAGAACTACTATCTAAGCTGGGACCTSAGTTCAAGCCGAAAAAATTAACATTAAAACAAGATGCTGTTCCGACGATCTTTGAGTTTCGAGAAAAGAAGAATAAACAGAGTAATTCTTCCCRCCAAAACACCGGTCATGTTCGGCAGGCATTTGCGAAACGAAGAAAAATCGAGGTAAGCTAAATGTTATTGCCGATAAATTGTAAAGGTCACTAGGAGACACATTTTTATTGTTTTTTTTTGCGCATTGTTTTTTTTTTTATTTAGACAATGAATGAGCTTTTGAGCGAAGCCAATGATTGTCATGAGTTCGTGGACTCCGCAGAAACAACAACAACACCGAAACCGACATGTATATTCTTACTGTGCGGAAAGCTGTTCCAAACACAAAAGTACACAGATGCCCATACTTCGACCGTCGAGTCATCTACTGTCAAAAAAACAGCTAAAAGAATGGTAAGATTGTGCAATAAAATAGCCATTTTTGTTTGAGTGATCAATGAATAAGATTTTATTCTTTTTTATAGACGTCGAGTGTGTGTGCACAGACAGTGGCAGTAGAGAAACGTTTGAAGAACACGCAAACAATTCCTAATACACGTAAGAGCTCACACAAAGACAGTCTCTTTTGTTTCTCTTCTAACTAGAATCTTGAAAACGATTTCTCTTTCAGAAGACAAAAGCACAGAGATTGGTATAATAACGTCAGACAAAGCCGTGGATTGCCATAGAGTTGAAATTGACAACGTTGAAAAGTATGGCAATGATGATGATGATGACGTCGACGTTCAGCAATATGACAATGATGACGACARMGACTGGTTAGTAGTGCTATACATGAACCACTCTAACCTAAGCTTTGAAAATCATGACTGCAATGTACATTTATMCTTGTAATTATGAATATATTGCAATAATTGTACAGCTATTTGCAATAATTCTGACCYCCCTACACTAATATTCATATATATCAAAGTAGCCTTAGAAATTATGGGATACCAATGCTGATATTTTTTTTAGAAAGTACTCATTCTGGGCAACTCAAAAAATATATCAGTCATGATATCCCATAATATTTAAGGTCAGTTTGATATATATGAAATATGGCAGAGGGGGTCAGAATTATTGCAAACAGCTGTATGTCTATTTAACCTTATATAAAAACAAAAACAATGGACAAATTGTTATTATTAGGGTTTTGGAGGATTTTGAAGAAGACATAGATGAAGAAGAAGTACTAAAAAAGGAAAAGGAGTCAAATAAAACCAATAAATCATCTCCATTTGGTGAAAAATTTATTGTCTTTGAGAGTTGCTTACTAGAGCTATTTAAAAATTGCCATCTATGCTGCAAAGAAGCTAAACCATCTRTAACAGAACGAGCTGGTACCATGATCACAGTAGAGAGCAAATGTGTGAATGGACATCACAGAGTTTGGTACAGTCAGCCATGCCATTGCCTTATGCCCTGGGGAACTATGCTTTTGGCTGCAGCAACACTATTCACTGGAAGTAACCCAGGAAGGGTTGTAAATTTTTTCAAACACATTGGGATTTGCTTTTATTCTATTAGGWCATATTATTACATTCAAAAGCTGTACCTCATCCCAGCTATTAATGAAACATGGTTGKTGGAGCAAGACGAGATTCTGGAAACGTTTGAGGGTGATTTTGTTGATGTTGGTGGCGATGCAAGATGTGACTCACCTGGCCATTGTGCAAAATATGGTACATACCACATGGTAGAGCTGAACACCAAGAAATAGCTTACTTTGGATCTTGTCCAGGTACAGAATTGTTTATTTCACATGCTTTAGTTGTGCATGAATTCATTTGTTTGGATTCAATAATATGAAAGTTTATTTCAGTATACATGTATATACCACCCTAAGGGGTTTGGAGTTGGGGCAAAAAAACCCTGAATTATTATTAATAGCAAAGGAATTCTCTACTTTCACATTTCCTTGTTTTGGTTTTGAGGGGTTAACAGTTGTCACTCAAATGCATTTTACTTGAATTACAATAACTTTGATATGAATGACAATATTTACCCCTCAAGAACAGAAGACATTATAAACATGTGAAAGTAAACAATGCCAGAACTATATTAACATTATAATAATTGTCCAAACAGATTCAAATGTAAAAATTTAAGCACATAACCTCTAAGATTTAAATATGCACTCTGACCAAGAAATTCAAAATTCCTCACAGCAAGAACAATGACATTGACTTCATAATAAGACAGACACAATAAAATTTAGTTAAAAAAAKATTTTATTACACTTAATGCAAAAATTGCTACTTCCTTATATGAGTCTCAATATATTATATTTTGAATATTTCTTTCTTCATTTGCATTGAATAAATAATATACATAAAAATGTCTCCTGAATGTACCTCACCATGATTGTACATCACTTATCTGATTCATTAATTATTCATAAGATAAGGTTAACACAATGAAAAACTGTTAGTGTATTTTTATATGAGCATCAAGTTTGTCATAATATATTCCCTTACAAATAATATTTTATTTTTAGGAATTTCATGGCTTTAGCTTACACATACGTTGAAATTTGATAGCATTGTACGTATATTCACAACAGTTAAACTAACAGCTAAACAATGAATTGGTGACTCTGCGTTTGGTGCCAAGAATACAAGTTCTAATGCATGATAAACCAACAGAAATAAAACAAGTAAGAAAGAAGACATTGAAATAAAAAAAATGCTTTTCATGCAAAAGAAAGTGAGTACTCGTGCATCTATGCTGACATTATGCAGACTATGAGCATGAGCTGACAGAAATAACACTAGAAGGCAAAAGAAAGTGAGTACTCGTGCATCTATGCTGACATTATGCAGATTGTGAGCATGAGCTGACAGAAATAACACTAGAAGGCAAAAAAAAGTGAGTACTCGTGCATCTATGCTGACATTATGCAGACTGAGCATGAGCTGACAGAAATAACACTAGAAGGCAAAAGAAAGTGAGTACTCGTGCATCTATGCTGACATTATGCAGA